AGAGCAGAAACTAGAGCAGCTTTGTGCTCACTTCGGAGCTCAGGGAAGCGCTTCCTCGAGCTCCACCTCTTAGCTGCTGTGTGTGTAGGACAGCTGGTATTTGCTGCCAGATCCAACGTGGAATGGTTAGCTAAGAAGGATCTTGCTGTAGGAAAACACTCTTTTATTTGTTATTACTTATTTCTTTGTTGTTTACTAGCTGACAGCCAATGGAGATCTCATATTTCATCTATGAAGACCCGTAATTGTGTTTTCTCATTGTTTCCCCTGAGCTAATATTCTTCTCCCAGCTTGCGGGGTGTGAGGGAACAGCCGCCTGGGGCCACGGATGCCCACCTAACCTGGCAGAACGGTTAGGAACTCCGTTTTCCTTTTCTGTACAATGCGTTGAATCAGAGTTTTAAATTGCTTTTGCCTTTCTTTTCCCTTTGGTGTGAAAGAAGGGTAGACTAATGCGTCCCAAATATACGTGGGATGCGCAGTAAGACTAAGCTTATTTTGTAGGAGCAAGATGCCTGGTTCTCGGGAGATCATACGGTCCATCTGTTATAAAAAGTAATCTCGTTTGTTTCTGGTCATTTGCAGAGGCAGACTATTGAAAGGTAGGACTTGCATGCCAGCCACCCTGTGAATTTTGTGTGTGTCTGTTCTGTTCTCACTAGGGCATAACACTTGTGTCCAGCCAGGCTGTGAGCAACGCTAAGAAGATGGGGTGGCCCCTCAGAGAAGTCACAACTGGTATTTTTGAGGCTGAAGCCCCAGGAGGATACAAGTTCTACCTGGAAGACAAGGAACAGCTCAAGCAAGGTGAAACTCACACACTTACACACTCTTACTGGTGTTCACAACAGATTTACGAGTGGGGTATTAGAATGGGCTGCACATTTGTCTCGACGGCATTTTATGAGACAGAGCACGTTTTTGTTATTTCTTTGTTACTTTCCGTCTCAAGAATGTGCAACTGAGTTTAAAACTGCAATATATTTGTAACCAATTTCAAATTATTGCAATCTTATAGATCCTGTGCTGAAGGTAACCTTGGGTGTCTCCGATCTGCAGAAGTCTGTTAACTACTGGTCTGATTTGCTCGGGATGAAAATATACGAGAAGGATGAGGAAAAACAAAGGGCTTTGCTAGGTTACGCGGATAACCAGGT